TATTTGTCTACATACATATGACTATATATTGTTTACCTTTCTTAATTCCAATTAACTTGTAACCATTTGGACAAATACAATCAATTGGTCAAGAAAGAAAAAGGCATATATTTGAACAGCAATTGATCAATACTCTTCTGGAAAAAGAAAAACAATGTTCGAGGTTGCTGTTCTATCATTTTCCAAGCCTCTATCCCAAATCTTGCAGTTGCTTGTAAGCTATGACTCAGCAGTAAATAAAACAAGATAAAATACAACCCCAAGTCCCTCATTAGTAAAACCAGCAATTTGAACCAGATGATGCTTACATAAACTTTGGAACTAACATCTTAGGTTTGGTCTATTAAAAAGAGCTCATGTTGGAATAATTTCTAGAATATAAATAATGACAAAACCTTTAAATACTTAATGAAGCAGTAACAATTTGTCAAACGGTCCTAAGTTCTTCCCCTCTGCAGACCTCAGTTCCTCATCAGTAAAGTGTGGAAAATGAAATCGATGCCCTTTTAAGATCTTTTTCAGCTTGAATACTCTTGATTCTGGCCAGATTCTTAAATACATGTCTCTAATTTTCATATGTTTCTGTTGCTTTTTTTTCTCATATACTTCTATCCAAATTTTTGCAACCAAGTACCTGACAATGCCTGAGTTATATATAAGACTATGTGTGTTAATAGATTTACTAATTTATTTTTGAGACAGGGGTTCATGAATCCTAGGCAGGGTTCCAATTCTCTATGTAGCAAAGGATGACCTTGAACTTCTGATCCTCCTATCTCTACCTCCTGAGTTCTAGGATTACAAGCATGAGCTATCATGCTCAGTTTCTTTTGAGACTTTTTATAGTGAGTAACTGTGAGCTTTGCATTTACCTTCTGTATCTTCAAATGCCTGTATCAGTGTGGAAATGACTTCTGGACAAATGACTTGGATCTGACCTTGCAACCAGAAAGTTAATCTTACATTTTGACATCATTTAGCACTACTTCAACCTGCTTATAATGTAATCAAGTTTACTGTGCCTTGGACTTCTCTTGTAACCTAACTGCATAGCTTTAATCTCTCATGACTCTTCCTTTCTCTTAACCCAGAATAATGCACATTGTGAAAATAATAAGCACTGTAAGAAGTGAATATTCCTGGGAAGAAATGAAAGTCATTCCATTTGTTCTGCAAACAACAGGTAGGATTACATTTCTAGCATCTGTTTGTGCCTATATGTGCTGTTCTAGGTCAGTAGGAATCAAAAAGAGGAAAATTCTCTGATAAGGGTCTGTTTTTACTTCCCCGTTTCATGCTGAATGTACATGAAATAAAAGACAGAGAAAGGCCTTTGTTTCAGAGCTCAGGTCAAGAACTCTGAAGGAACAGGTTCTCAGAACACTCAGGTCCCGTTCTTGGTTAGAATGGATGCTAAGAGTCAGATCGTCTTTATTCAGGCATCACTATAACATGGCACCTCACTGTCACAGACCACCATATGGCACATAAGAGGCACTCAGTAATTACCAAT